AAAAAAAAAAAAAGAAAAAACTATTGAAAATTGATAAGTATTCCAAGAATAATTTCTCAAAACTTTCAAAAGGCTTTCTAATATTAAGCCTTAGAAGAAATAAAAAATCGCTTTAAGAATGTTGAATTCAAAAATCAAATCATACTGTTGTAAAATACAGCAAAATAAAGCTCAGGCTGCCGATTAACAGTTTTTCAAACTAATTCCTGAGCAACATCAGTTGAGGTTTTAGAAAAGCGAAAAAAGAAAAGAGATACGAAAAGGTGAGAAAAGATAGCTGTTTTATTGCTCAAACTTTATCACTATTTTCAGTACTATTTATGCCGTAAACTCTTAATCCAAACATTCATCAATTTTATTTGGTAATTCTTAACAGCATCAATATTGCACTAATATTTAAGACCACTTTGTCATTGTTTGTTAATAAAATCAACCCTTACGAGGCGTACTAAGTTCCGGAGGTGGCAGTTGTTTTGTGGGGTAGTTGTTAGGGGAATAGAATTGTCGTTCAGTGGTATACCTGGTAGTAGGCGAATTTGCATTTGGTGAGAGTCTACTAAACCGTGCACTACTAGAACGATTCCTGTAAATTTTAGAAAAATTTTTTAAAATTATACTAAATTTCAATAATGTAAACAGCAGAAAATTTGCTAGCAGTTTGTCGTATAAACACATATAATGAAGTATTTCTACAATTTCAATCTCTAGGAGGTCTTCATGTGAAGAAAAAAATTTCTTTCCATGCAACTAAAAGAATTCCAGATAAAGGTCATAATCTAACTGAGATGAACACGCAGATTTGAGAACGCTAACTTTTTCGTGTAGCTGCCCTTAAAGTCAACCAATTCAACTTCCCTGCTAGAAGAGTGTTCAAAGTTAATGCTGGTTATAAGCATGTAAAACATAAAAGACTTATTCGGCTACCTTTTTGAGCTTGCCAAATGACTACGTTTTCGAGTGCCCTTCATCGAGTCTCGTCGATAACTTCGTGAACGTCTATTTTTTCGTCTCCATTTCTTTTCAAATTTTTTTTGCCCACTTTCCGGCCATTCTTTTCGCCATTCAGCCACACCTTCTGGTAATTCAGACTGTTCATAATAAGTTGGTAATGCTTGCTTTGGCTTTACAGATGTCAGATCACCACGAATACGGAAAAAAAAGACAGCTACAACAATTGCACAGGTACCCTAAATATTTGTTCATTGAATGACATTAATTTTTTTGTTAAATCAAATCTACTATAAATTTAAATAAAAAACGTTTTAAAAAATTATTCTATTTTTTATTCTCAAATTACGCATCATAGAACACTATAGCTTTTACTTAACTATTCTACTTCAACTGAGATTATTGCCTAAAAAACTTTTTACATGAAAAACTAAGTGAAAAGGATCAATCATACAACAGATCTTTGAAAAAAGGGTGAAAAAAAAAAGCAGACTAAAAAGTGTCATTTTAAAAGCAATAAAAGAGAAATTAAAAGAGACCAAAATTGCCCTTTTTTTCAGAAAAAAAGTCTAAGCTTTATAAGCAGTAGTTATTTTTTGCAACATTGTTTTAATCAAAGCATCAAATTAGATGAATCTAAGTGACAATAAAAAACGTACGGTGAAAAGCACCGGAGATCAATGAATTTTCTTATTGCTATAACCATTGTTTAAGTTATAATTTGATTTACCGTAAACAACTTTAAAAGAATATTTTTAGTGTTTATGTTTTTTTTTGTGGATAACCAAAAAAAGTTTTAATTCTTATTCTTTTCTTTTTCTCGTTAGTTTTTACTAACATTGACGGCAAGAGAAAAGACAAATTCGGCAACAGACATCGCCAACTGCTCCCCAAATACATCACCGGACCACCAGAGTACTGCATAGATTGTTGAAGTTATGATAATGATTAAGACAGAAATAAGCCATGGCCAAATATAGTTGGCATTACTCTACAATCAAAAACACATAACTGTTTGTTTGTTCATTTTGATTCTTCAGTTACTCAGAAAAGGAAACTAACGTAATAGTGTTACTTTACATATAATATGTTACCTTTTTGGCTGCAATAATTAACATAATGGTTACACAGAGATGAGCACATGCAACAACTTCAGTAGTGATAGCCAAAGCCAGTAAAGCTGTAATTTAATTGCATGAACAACATCGCCAATTATATCGTCAAACAAACAGCCCACCAAAAATATTCAGTTTTTGCTTTACTCTAATTCACTGATTTTATTTTAACAATTATTTTCAAAGAAATTAAGAAATATTCTAACTTTTTTTCATTCTTACATTGTTGAATATCAGTCTGCTGATTACAACGTACATTTATACTTTAAGCTCTCAGCCTTCAGTCTCAACTTTCCTTTACCTCAACCCACTTTTCCAATGCTCTTCTCTTTCCCTCCGTTGTTTATTCCATTTTCCCTTTTTTTCAGTTCTTTTTAAAAGTTCAGTCTTTTTTTTCTCATTTTACTTCCAAAAATTTATTTTAAATATTTAAAAAGCAAATATAGAAAATTTATTACCAGTCAACAGATTCGATTCTGAACACTTTATACAAGTGGTAAGCATAAACTCAGTAATGCATGCGATGTTAAAAATTTCCCACAAAATAAGACAAGATAAGAAAATTTTTTAAAAAATTTGGAGCAGACTAAGGCTTTATGAGATTTAGTTTCCTTCTGTAACTGAGGGGAAGCTTAAGCGAATCTTTAAAATTGAAATGACTTTAAAAGTACATAAATATTGCTGAATAGGAACTAGCGAAAACTCAACCTATATTGATTTCTCATATTTTTCTAATTCAATGCAGTTTTCTGGGCAAAGTTAAGCTTGTAAAAATTGGTTTGTTCTTTTTTTTTCAATATGAAAAGAAAGGAAATACAGTTATTACAATATGAGCGATACTTAAATGACTTTGCTGCCTAAACAACTTATTCCATTTTCTATACCGTTTAGAAAAAATTGAACAGAGGAATCTTCTTCCTTCTGTTATTTACGTCTATTTCCTAATTACAATTACTTGAATTCTCTTTCAATTCCACAGCTTTATAAGTTGCATA